GACACTAGGTATAAAGGAGCAAACACAGTAATTTACTAAGTGCTAATCCTCTCAACAAATCTATATAGGTCATACTACTGTTACTTCCTGGTTTACAGATGAGAGAAGATAGGCTCAGTGAGGTTAAATCCCTTGTTCAAGGTCCCATTGCTCTCAATGGTAGAGATCAAAACTAAACTTGACTCCAAAAATCAAGTGCTTAACTTACATGTAATGCCATTCAGTTTTTGGAACAAAAAGGGGAAGTTAACAGGCCTTATGTAATAGCCAAACAACAGTGGGGATAAGAGAACTACCTGAGTCAAAGGGAAATAGGGAATCACAAGAGAAAAAGTGACCAAAATCCTAAGTGAATTTTCATTAACTGCTTACCACACATAAGGCACTGATAGTGGTGACAAGAAGTGGAAGGAAAATTTGAAAGAATCTCTTCAACTTTGGATTCTCAGATTTCAGGTTGGAAAAAACTCTGGTCTATGCAAATGTGTTGTCCTCTGTACATGATGAAGATGCTTCTGACCCACCTAAGAAGGATGTGTTTGGAATTATTATTCAGTTTGGAATCATGCTAATTTACATGTTGAGTGTAAAAATGGTGGCCCATCTTTTAAAAAATTTAATATTCACATTCCCAAATTTAAGAATCAGAGACATATAAATTATTCTCCTTTACCAACCAATTCCTTGAAATAGCCCCAAGAGGGCATTAAAGTGCTTGTTTACAGATTATTAACTACTACAGGTAGCAGAATAAACATCAGGAGTCACAGGCAACTGTGGATCTACAGGATTCTGTGTCAAAACATCCTTTACAGGCAACTTCACAAGACATATTAGGTAACACACTAGACCCAAATGATACCTTCCTGATAAGACAAAAGGTAGACACTTGTGATCTTGCCAGCAAAGGACCTAGACAATGAACAGATTTCTCTGTTACAAGTTAAATGTCTAAAAGAACTTAAAAATAATTTGGAAACTAGAGTGTAACTAAATCAAACCAGGTAGGAGGAGGAGGAAATCAGTATCTGTGGAGAAATCTAAAAAAAGATCTGAGCTGGGAAGAGCCCCTGCTGAGCATGCTCAAGGTCCCAGATCAAAAAACAAAGCCCACCCAAAAAAAAAAAAAAAGACCTCCTTACATTTTTGACTCCTGTTCAAAGACTGCCACTAAAACAGGAGCTGTCCTAGAAAATAAGGCTGTAAAGAAGAAACAGCAACAGCAGCCCATCTCTTCTCAGTGATTTTTGGTGTACATTCTATGAAATTGTTCCAAAAATTTGCTCTAAGACAATTCCAAAGAGAAAATGAATATCCGGAATGTTAACTGGCTATCAAGTTAACACCTAAGCAGGACTTGATGGGGCTCTGCTTGATGTGCTTCCTATTCCTTCTGATGAACCAGTGCCACATATCCTATAAGCAAAAGTAGTTTCTTTAGCATTCTTTTCCTTTCCTATATTTTGCTAATGGTAAAAGTCTGACTGCACAGGCCCTAGGTCCAATGACTAAAGTATCACTTGGGAAAGTCCTCCCCCCAAAATGTTCAGAAGTTCAGAAAACATCCAGTGTTCTGAGATAGGCATTTCAGAGAAACATGTCGATGGCAGGAAATTTCATCAACAAACTGGAGATATGGATTTATTCTATGAAAAAAAGAATCAATTTGACACAGTGTCATTTTCAAATGGTCCAAGGACAGTTATTGCCTCTGCAGCACAAAGTAGCAGAAAAAGAGGGACAAACATCCAGTGATCATGGGGAACTAGATGACTTAATTGGTTTGACTACAACTGCCAACATTAAAACTGGGATCTGCCTCAGCTGTGGTAGTATACACTTATCATTACCATCTTAAATTTTCCTAGCTGTACCATCTGAAATCATCACAAGTCTTGAACAATCTTTACCATATGAACAATAACATAGCTATCAATGTGGTCTCGTGAGAATTTCCTTTAGAATTTTGTGTCAGGAAAAGTTGTCTTCCTGAAGAATTAGCATGTATTCTTTCCAGTGCCTGCTAAGGTTACTATAACTCTGTGATCCCTTCATCCTCAGCTAGGGGGATGTTTATGGTGTTGCCTGTGATAATCAAATCCATCTTAGCCCCAAGGGTTAACAATATTTTCCCTTAATTCTATAGTTTTGACTTCATATTTATATTGTAGTTACATTCTGTTATAACCCACCGCAAATGATCATTAAAAAGAAGGAATAAGAGTTTTAAAAAGTTACTTTTGCCATTTTAATTTCCAACATGCCTCCATTTCCACAGGTCTGAACAATAGGCATGGATGTGGTAGATGCAGAAACTGAGGCATAGAAGCCTCAAGAACCAATTTAGTTGGCTTCTTGACAGCCAGACATTTCAAGCCTTGAATCAAATTCACAAACCCTATTATGGACTGGTAGACCCCAGAGCATAAAAAACTAAGTAAGTCACGATCATAGTTAGAGAATTCAGGTACCTATGCCTTTTTAATTGATGGGCACCCATTCTTACCTCTAAGTGAATAAAAGTTGACCAGAAAATTACACTAGATTGTGATCTGACTGAGGACCACTAAGGTCACCCTGAAGTCACCTCTATCCTTCTGGCATCAGAAATGTCCTCAATTCCCAAGGGCCTCAGGGATTGGAATGATCCAAGGATTACTTGGTCCAGAGCCAGGCTGGAATCCTCATAAAGGACCGCACCATTTGAAAAAGCCTTTTTCTTAAACACCATTCAGGACCATGCCACAGAACTTTTTCCTCTTACTTTTCTTATGCTCTTTCTCATATTATCAACACATGGCAGAGGTACAAAAGTGACTTTAGTCATAATGTCCAATTCAGTTGAAATTCTGAGAAATGGATTACCTAGGACTTGCTTTGTGACCTTGACTAGTCCTCAACTGATCCATTAACTAAATAAATGCCTTTTATCATCATTAGAGGATGGGTAATTAGTCATCATAAAGCATTTTAATACAAGTGCTATGTAAATGCTACACAATAAAGCTCAAAAAGAACAAAATTAATAACATGGGGTCACATTTACCAGCAAATGGAAACTTACAAGAGGGTCTTCCCATACTCCTGGCAGAGGCTTGCTTCTTTTAGCTAATGGAATATGAGTCTCTAAAGTCATTAGCACTTGGCCTCATAATAATACACATTAGTAATATTCCTCCCAGGAAGAAAAGGGGAAAAGGAATATTCCTGGTGCAGTTATTTGGATACCTGTGACTGGTTAGCCAGGTGGGTAATTAATATCTGAGTACCTACTATATGCAAGGTACACAGCCAGGCACAATAGATACAATTGTGAACAAGATTCCTGACTTTCTGGCAGTTTATAATCTACAAGCTTTGGCTTATCAGTACTGATGCTTCCAAGAATACAGGTTTACTAAAATAAAGGCAAGTAACAATAAAGATGCCTAATACTCTGAAGCAACTATACAAAAGAGGATGGGCTAAGGAGGACAGAAAGAGCTGAGGGAATTAGGCTATCAGGGATTTCCCATTCTTTCCCCTAATTCATTGTGAAGTATTACCTTTAAGCATTATGCTTATAAGGACTGTAACTATTTGTTCAAAGAATAGCAGATTACAGTTATGGCCCCCAACAAAGCAGTCAGTTGAACTGAGAGCACTAAAACTAAGGTTAATCATACTCCTTAGAATCTAGGGATCTTTCACAATCTTTAAAGGCATTGTCAGTAAAACCTTAATTTTATAAGAAAGCAGAACTAAAACATACAAGGGTGACTTGTCCTTTGAATCGTGCACTTGATTTCTGGAGAGGCAGATTAACTGCTTAAAAAAAACCTAAAAAACAAACAAAACAACCAAAAGCCATCTCGCCCACTTAGCTTAAGTAGTTCAGGTATAGGAGCCTCAAGGACAAGTGACTATTCCTGCAAACCTTTGTTCAGCTTATACAAGCTCTGCATCCCATTCAACACTGCAAACAGCGACAGCTCTGAAACACTCTCTTTACACTGGAGGAAAATATTTGTCCGTGTTCTCACTGGTTTYAGAAAGGTCACCTCTTTGCAAAGCTTCTCTGGTCTGTTAACTTGTATGTGGAAAGTCAAGATGTGGTTGGCAGTAAATGAGAACACAATCCCAGCACTCAGAGAGCTAGTTAGACTAAAATCTCCAAAGGTTGCCATTTCCAAGAGAACTGGAAGGATGTCTTTTGAGCTCAACCCACAGCACAATAGACTAAACTTGTTCTGCCTCCGTAAGTGCAGTAAAGAATGAGCAATCTTTCCTTACCACCCACTCCTTCATCCCACCCAAGCTCCTTTCTGGAGCAATATCTAAGTAATCTATTCACATGACTCTAGGATCAACCTGCATCCATGACAATTTCTGCTGTCACTAACCTTTAAATGTCCGTTTCTTACATATATTGGAGCAACTGGAGGACTGAAGAAGGTGAAAAAACATAGTTTGCTTTTCTATCTTACGCTGCCCTCATTGCCTTCACCTGCACTAAAGACCTCGTTCCACGCATTCTTTTCTCTTGCCTGTAAGCTATCACGCAGTTGTTGGGTAAAACGGCCACGGCTCCCAAGGATTTGCCTGAAGAAGCTCAGCTAGATTTACCCACTCACCTGGGTGGAGATCTTCTGTCCACCCTCATCCCCTGCACAAGTCACAGGGGTCAGCTGAGTTGGCTCACCCYCTCCCACTCTCGTCTTCCAAGGCCCTCCATCCAGCAAAGTCAGCCGCAAATTTAAGGCCTGGCCCTGCTGGATTTCAAAAAGATCCCCGAGGGCTCGGGCTGAGGGACAAAGGAAAGCGAGGTCAGGGGCGGCCTCTTCAGCTCGGGATAGGCCTGGGGCCGCTCACCTGCCATCCCCTCCACCACCCCTGCCGTCCCCGACCACCCGAAACCCTAGCTTCGAAGTCCCGAACTACCCGAGCCCGGGCCCAGGGTGCTCGAGCCCCTTCCGCGAGGCTGGAGCCCTGGTCCCCGCCGTCACCCAGAGCCCCCGCACCTTCTTGGGCGCCTTGGTGACGGTGGCCATGAAGGARTACTTCTCAGCGTCCTCGATCTCCTTGGCCTGTTTCAGCTCCTCCCCGACCCCGGGCAGCGGCATCGCGTCAGGCATCGACATCCCCCGGCCGGCCCGGCCCGCGGCTGACCCGCCGCCCCCGCCTCTTTCCCTCACTGGCGCCCGCTCGCACGCGCGGCGCTCTCCGACACGCGCTAGCCCACTCTCCCGCCAGGCCCAGGGCTGAGCTGCGTGGGCTTCTCGCTGCTCCGACCCGCGCCTCCTCTGTTCSGCAGCCCAAGACTGCCGGACAGCGATGGCAGCCACAGCAACACCAGAAGCAGCAGCGCGCAGCTCCGACCTGCCCGCGCCGCCACCTCCGCTGCACGCAAGCACGCACGCAAGGTAAGGGTAGAGGGCGGTGACGCCACGTCAAGTACTGGCAGTTCCAAGGAAGGGAAAGAGGCGGGGAGAATCAGCGTTCTGTCRTGACGTCACCACGCTGGGCCGGGCCGCATATGCTGCTCCTCCTTCTTTCCTACTCGAGGATGTTGAGGGTCCGAGGGTRAGCCCTATCCTTAGAGCCACCAGGTGGCGCCATCAGCCCTGTGAGCAGCGCAAGGTTCCTGCAAGGATGCCGTGGAACTGAGGGGTCTTTGGGCWTCTGGATTCTCGGCAACGCCTCACGGGGGCATAAGAGCGATGCTTGTAGAAAAGGGCACGGCGCCCCACATAACACATCCTACAGCCATTCTTAGGAAAAATCCACGGCCCGAGACAGCCCACTCACTGCCCCCGCCTCGGACCCTTGGGACCAAAAGCCCCTTCCCAAAGGATAGTATTGGCCTTTTTGACTTCATGGGGGATGGAACAGAGTGAGAGCAGTCAGGTTTCTGCACAACCCTTTGTGACCTCCTTCACCACCATCTCCTCCTGGGTCTTGCCTGTTTACAAGACCTTCAGGCTGCAGTCATTGGGATAGAACTGATAGGTCAGAAGGTGGAGAGCCAGAGGCAGAGAAGCCCTGGCCAGATTGCCTTTCCAACTACTTGCTCCGCCTAGGCAATAGCCCTGTGAAGAGCCCAGTGAGCATYGGGGACCTTCATTGATTGCTCACACACTTCCTGAGCCCTAGTATGTGTTGTCTCCGTGCTAAGGCCCTGGGATGGCAAAGGTGCATGTGACACATTTTATATTTTGCAAGGCTTAGTTTAGCTGGAGAAGCAAAACCTGTTTGTCACCTAATGTCAGCAGAAGTAGCATTTCCTTTGAGATTCAAATGACATTGGCACCAATTCTCTTGTCCTGTGGAAAGTCCAGTGCCCTCCCTAGGATTTCTGTTAATTACTGGGGAGACTTAGATTTTCATGGTCACTTCTGGCTCTAGTTTTCTGCCTCGTCTGGATTTTTACTCACTATTCGGGTCTTATGACTGTTTTTTTAGCTCTTGCTGTCACTCAGTCCCTTTTCCTTTCAACCCCCACCTCTGTTCCAAAGCAACCACAAAAATGAAGCTGTAACACGTAACAGAACTTTTATTGAAGGTTCGCGGGTCACATTGGAGAGGTTATGTCACATAATGAACAATTTAAAATCACATTTCTGAAATGCTGTGGAAAGTCGTTTTGGCTGTTACCACGGGGGGATTTCTCGATGGCCAGGCCACCTCACAAAGCCCCTAACTTGCTGCCCACATAGCTTCCTCTTCCTCTTTTCCCATTCTTGGACCTCACCTTTCCCTCCTTGGTGGAGAACAGATTCTTCTCTACTGTGCTGAGCCATTCAAAGCTTTCCAAGGGCCTTTTCCCCAATTTCTCTCTAAGCCCACACACCTTTTTATATCCAGAAACTCATCAGGGTTTTAACAAGCCAACCCTGGCCAGAAAGAAGCTGTGGTTTGAAATGACAACCCCCCATCACTGGTTTATGTTCAAGGTTGGGGAGGGTGTGAAAGAGTCACTGTGGGAGCCCCAGACATCTTAGTATGAGACGGCTGTGTCCCAACCACCCAACCTCATGAGGCTTTGTGTTTGATGAGGGCTGTGGAAGTGCCTGGAAGGAAGCATACTTTCAGCTCCTGATCTTGAACTTTTAGAATTCTCTCATCTGCCCCCTCTTGTGAACATTCAGACTTCCCTCTGGGGCATTCCTGTAGCAAAAGGGGCAGCGAGATGGAGACAAGAATACCAGATTCATCCATCCCGATACCACACTGGTCCCTTTCTCAGATGGGGGTCAGGAATTATACCTGGCCCACTCAGAACTCTTTGGAGTTTTCATCCTTATGGATTTGCTAGAGTCTACACATCAGAGCTGCCTACTCAGGGGGCCGGGGTGTAGCTAGGTGGTAGAGCAGTTGCCCAGAAGAGACACTGGTTTGGATATCCAGCACGTTATGTATAAATAAAGTAAATAAATGGGACACTAAAAAAAATACTGCCTGCTCAAAGACCAGAGGTAGAACCTGTTAGAACTATGGATGAAAATTCTTAAGTAACTCGAATAGAAAAACACAACTTGTGAGAATTTAGGATTGTAAAAAAGTTTTTTAAAGCACAGGTATGTCTATCTTTGGATCTGATTTTGTAAACTTCCATTGTCTGAGTGCTTTGTCTCGCAGTCCCCCGTTCTCTGTGCATTTTAGCATCCAGGCTGTGAACTTGCTGGACCTGGGAGTGTTTCTCTTCTATTCTTTCAGGACCAGGATCACTCTGGCTCCAGGCCCACAGTGCTGGTGGTCTTGCTACTTGGTCTTGATAGCAAGGAGGATGAGGACAGGGTCAGATCTAGAGAGAATGGGACCTTAGTGGTTTGGGCCAAGAAAAAAGACCAGCAGGTTAGATTCCACTGACCTGAGTGCCTGTCTGGGAGGGGGCTGATGAGCTGGACTGGTACTTGACTGAGGGCAGGAGAGCYGGCACCCATTGTCTGGCAGAGAGGCAGTAGGCCTCTGTGGTTCATGTCAGACCTGAGCCTGGGCATTCCTGGAAATCAGCCACTGCAGAGGGCATGGGTGGCTGCCACCCCCCACCAGGGATTGGCTAGAGATCAAAGGGCTTATCAAGGCAGGAAGTGTGACAATATAACATTCATGAGAACCTTGGAGGCTGCCCACCTCCTGCCCAATCCTCACATGGTTTCACATGGCCTGGCTAAGGGGGCTGCCTCTCATGGATGCCAAGAAATGTCTTCATCCCTCTTGATAGTCCCTCTGCTAGCAAGCCTACCCCACTGAACACACGATCCACATAGACGAGAGAACCATCCCAGGGGCCAGTATTTAAGAGCAGGGACCTACAGGGATGACTACTGTGTGTGGTAGTAGGAAGTCTCCAAAGGAGACAAGAGAACCCTTGCTCTAGAAAGGAGTGGCCTGAAGGTGAAGGTGAATTGGAAGACTTCCCCCACCCCGAAATGTGGCATTGGGGTTCCACGTATAGGCTTGGTCCAGTTAACCAGATTCACTCTTTGTCCATCCCCAATTTATCCTAGACATTCATTCATTTATTCTTCTATTCACAAAATACACAGTTATGTGCTACATAATCTTTCATTCAATGACTAAATATCCAGTAGTAATCCCATAAGATTATAATGGAGTTGAAACATTCCTATCACTTTGTGATGTATTAGCCATTATAATGTTCTAGTGCAGTGCATTCTCACGTGTTTATGGTGGTGTGAATACATCTGTTTTGTTATGTTTAGGTACATAAATTCCATTGTGTAGCCGTTGCCTAGTGTTCAGTACAGGTTTGCAGCTTAGATGCAATAGGCTATACCTTACAGTCTAGGTGTGTTGTGGGTTATATCACCTAGGTTTGTGTAAGTGCACTCTGTGGTTTTCAGACAATGATGAAACTGCCTGGTGATGCAGTTCTGAGAATGTGTCATCACGTTAAATAATGCATGATGGTGGTATTGAATGCTGCAGATGTGCCAGGAGTAGAGCTAGATGTTGGACTTGAGACACAAGTAAGAAGAGGCACAGTATTAGTGCCTCTAGGTAGAAATTATCTACCTGGAGACAGGTATGGGGGTRGGGTATAAGGAGTGAGGTGCTGTGGAGCTTGGGGAAGACCAGGAAAGATTTCTCAGAGGGAGATGATGCTTGAGCTGTCTTGACAGATAAGCAGCTGGGTGAGGTAGGGAAGAGATTCCAGGCTGAAGTACCAGCTTTAGAAAAAGCAAGAGATTGAAGCAGCTTGGGGTATCATGGCAACTKTCAATATTTCTGGGCAGGTAGGGCATAAGGTGCAGAGGTAGGGCACAGTGGAGGCCAAAGCTGGTGCTAGAACCTGTGCTGTCTGGTGCTCTGTGGGTGGGTGGTGGTGATGTGCCCTGTGCTGGGAGCACAGGAGGAGAAGTGGGTCTTTAAGGAGGGGTTGTTGAGATCCAGGGTCAGCTTGAGACATGTGGAAGTCACTGTCCCTAAGTCTCAGGGAAGCCAAGTTTGTGTCTTTTACACAGACCCACCCCTTGCCAGCCTGGCACCCCGCCAGAGAAAGGCTGTGCTTGCCCTGTAGGACTTTCACCCCCTGCCAGTCAGGTCTCACTGTAGGTGCAGTGATCTTGGGTGACAATAGAAATATGAAAGTAGGTGACCAGGGCAGTGGCTCTGCCTCTAGCTCTCTAGATGGGCACACCCTCCCTGACCACCACCTTAATATTTATGCCCCTAAAGGGGCCATGTTGCATGGATCTGGGAGGCACCTTGACATGGTAATTGACAAAGGGTGCCCCTGGAGCAGCACTCCAGATTGACAATGTGACAGCTGGCCYGAGAGACTACCAGGGATAGGGATGCACAGTTCCTGCTTCCCCCTGTGCCCTCTGACTCTCCATACCAGCCTCTGCTCCTTCCCTTTTGGACTCTGGCAAGGAAACACTCCTCCTTCTATGACTCCCTCTCCACTTATTATTATCATTATATTTTACTTTTTATTATTATTTTGAACATTATAGAAAAGAGAAACACAAGGACAGGAAAAAAGAAATCTCTTTTCAACTCTCCAGGTTCACTTTTGGTTCTTATTAATTTGCAGAAGCTCATTTTTACACCCCAGTGATCAGTAGGTACCTGGCATTTTGTGTTCTACTATGTTCAAATTACAGTACTTGAAGGACACGTTACCACACACGGAGATCGTTAACATACTTGTCATTGCGTTGCCCAAGTATCCCATCATCTTGCTTATGAATTTATGTAATCATTTGCCTATGGTGGGGCATTTGGGTTGTTTCCAACTCCATGCAGTAGATAGAGTGTGGGGTAGGGGAAAGTGGTGGATGGCTTCAAGCAAAACAGGCAAAGTTGGGTCATAGCATCAGGTCCTGCCAGAGAAAGAGAGCAAAAAAATATTGAGCAGCAGGGCCAGTTGTCCTGCCTGTAAACAATGACTGGGTTAAGTGCCTTTTGACAGTAGGGGGTCTGAGGTCTTGTGCCAGGAACTTGAAAACCCGTGATAGCTGACT